ACTGATCTGACAACAAGATTGAGCATACACTATATATATATATATATATATATATATTATATAATCTAATTTTAGATGAGTGCTACTGTATATTGAAGTAGATTAGAACTGTATAGTGCAGAGCAGAGAGCAGTTAAAATACAGAATCAAAGTGTGATGAGGATCAGGATGGCATGTCATGTGACTTGGATATAATGACTAGTAATTTAATAGATGTGACCCAAATGGTAAGCGTGGGAGTGAGGTTAGAAAGGCCTTAATGCAGGCTGGGAACCTCCAAAAAGAAAATAACAAGGGGATGATTACATAAAAGCAGGAAAAAAGTCAGAATCGTCACATGATGGACCATGGCAGACATTTTGGAAAAGTATAGAGGAAGGGAAAACAGATCTTGTATACCTGTTTCATGGTTAACAGTCATGTTACATGGCATCTCAATCCACATCACGTGACTCCACTTTCCTTCTGTATTTTAAAAGCTCTCTGATCTGCACTATAACGTTTTTAAAGACGGTTCAACATACAGTAGCACTCCTCTAAAACGATATACTTCTTATTGTTTTATAATCTTGATTTTTGTTTCTGGCATCTGGTATTCCACTACTGACTCCAGAACACCTGGAGTTTACCACCTACACTGAAGACTATACCACCTATAGTGAATACACTGAGTGTTTTGGCTGTTCTTACAAATGTGAGTACGATTCTAATAACTTTTGCTTACTCACTATAAAAGAGGCACTATGTTGTGTCTTTTATTTCTTTCATATTGATACTTATGCTGTTGAAGAGATTGTCACAAATTTACATTTCTAAAATGAAAATTATACTTCCCTACGCCTAAAATTTGGAACTTGAGATATAAGCTGCCCTGTGAGTGCATCGTCTATGTACTAAAATATTCACTCCAAAGTTACAGTTAAAATGTCACACTATTATATTTTATTTTTTGTCCTTTGTCTGTTATCATGTATCCATCACTGAACATCATTGAGATTACATGTATTCATAAGTAGGGATTTTACCACTGCACGCTATAAAGACTGGAGCTAGTGTAAAGCTCTATAACATGTGAGTGGGATTCCACATATTGATCTGTTGTGTGTCCTCCACCTATTGAAAAATACTGCATCGTTTTTTTCTCCTTTCTGTCTTTTTCATGTATCCACATAAAATATCAAGTCCTATAAGAAGCAAGACCACCTGTAGAAAATTTTGGACTGTGTGCCCCGGATTTTTTTCATAATTTTATGCTTACATATATTACTTGTCTGCTCTTAGGTGCAACCTGTTGTATTTGTTACCACACCGTATGCCTATGGAGGTTTTGACAATTTTAATACACTCATTTTATCAATCAGTCCCTGCCAAAATATTATGTAATATTTTATTTTTAACACATACAGACACAATTTATGTTGTGAGTTTTGTAAACCTGATTTATTCTAGTGAAGTAATATTTTTGTGCAATTTAATTCCTGAGTACAGGAATGTTCCCTACATTTACCTGTGATCCTTTTTGTGAAATTTACCAGGGTTGTTCACTAAAGCGAGACTTCAAAGTGAAGTTTAAATTTAAGGTCCTAAATTTGGAAGTCACTTTGAATTGTCACTTTAGTGAATAACTATGATAGAATCGAATCTGAATCCTAGCAATTTCAGTTTTCAAATTTGGTATATTAATAGTGGGTTTCTGTCTCGTTTTCTGGCAGTTGAGTAAGCTGCTATTTTAAATTGGTATAGCAGTGTGAGAGTTGATTTTAGAGTCAGACCAATGGATAAATATTATAAAGGAAAAAGTTAGGGCATTTTGAGGTCTGAGGACAGTGAGCATTTACCTATTTACTGTAGGTGAAAGACAGTTTGGGATATGCTCCATTGTTGTATTATACAGTGATGAATTGGTTAAATATTAATTTATTTAAACCAGGGAAGTAGTTCAGGTCTTGCAGAAATGGTAACAAGAATTACATTGAGTGAATGGGAGACATGGAGTTCCCTACCAGAACCTAGTACTTAGCTTCAATCGTGTTAATTATTGTTTAAAGGGAGCTTTGGGGACAATGAGACTAGACAAAATAGCTTGAAAAGCAGGGCTGTTCAGACACAATATCGGAGAGAGTACAGGTAGAATGCATAGGAAAAGAGAACTTGTGAATGTGTTTCATCCATTAAAATAAAATTAATGACACCACTTGGATTTAGAGCTTAATGACTCCTGGGCATTACACTGACTGGGCCTGCACTTTGCAAATTCACAGTAGATCAAACAGGGAAGAAGGTGATTGTGCACACATTTGTTAAAAACCTCTCAGTTGGTAATGGTAATTAAAACCTATATAATATGAAAGATAATAATATCATGGTATAGTATGTAAACATAAATCAGAATGGTGAGATAACCTGGAACACTCACAAATGAAAGAGCCAGTTAGGAGTTGGCTTGATACTGTAAAGGAATTTCATCAATCTCAGGTTGAAACAGGGTAGAATACTTCAAGTGCCAGTTTCCTCAGAAAACATCAATATTTCTTTAAAATGTAGCCAGTAAGCAGATGAAGTTAAAAACTCTTTAAAATAAAAGTTAAAAATAGAACCTATGGTTGCAACAATTTTTATGTTTCCATTATTAGCTAGGTATCGCATAGTTTTAATCTGCAACAGTATTAGCAGGTATCGGATAACTAGAGGTCAATTTGCAACCTGGTATCCAACCAAAGAATGAAAGGAACACTATAGAGTCGGGAACACAAACATGTATTCCTGACCCTATACTGTTAAAAACACTATCTAGGCCCCAACCCCCTAAAAATAGTAAAATCTTACCTTTATTCCAATCTGCTGGTGCTGGCTCTGCCTCACATCTGCCTCCTTGGCTGACATCATCAGAAGTGATGATCTCAGCCAATCACAATGCTTTCCCATTGGAAAGCATTGGATTGACTGAGTTTGTTTTAACATTTGGGGAGGAGCCAATTGCCGCCCTGGCCAATCAACATCTCCTCATAGAGATGCATGAATCAATGCATCTCTATGAGGAAAGTTCAGTGTACCCATGCAGAGGATTGAGACACTGAATGGCAGTACTGCACACTGCGCAGTAGGCTGTAATGTAAACACTGCCTTTTCTCAGAACTACTGCATTGAGCTGTAGTTGTTCTGGTGACTATAGTGTCCCTTTATATAAGATACTGGGTTATTTTTTTGTAACTCTGGTCACATATTAATTTTACAGCACGTGGGTGCCAAGATGCAAGATTGTACAAAAAGCACTATCTTTTTTTGCATCTTTGAGTGAATGTAAGTAATGAAACACACTTCCTGTATAATATAATACCAAACATTTAAAAAATTAGTAAACACCACTTCAGGAAATGAAATTTGTTTAGCTTAACTCTCTGGATGCAACCTGTTAGCATTTCACTACCTGTTTTGAATCTTAATCTGGATCACAATAAAAGTTAAGTATTATATTATGCAAGAAGACTAGACAGAGTGCTGTTTCTTTATAGAGTGTGTTACAATAAACAAGTTTGTATTTATGATGTTCTGGACATTTTACCATAGCTGAAACAATTGATGTATGTTACAAAATCATATCCTTAAAGGACCACTATAGTGCCAGGAAAATAAACTAGTTTTCCTCACTCTACAGGGTCTTTGGGTCCCCCCTACCCTCTGGGTCCCCCTCCAGCTGGGCTGAAGGGGGTTAAACACTTACCTTACTCTAGCACTGGGCTCACTCGGGGCTGGGGACTCTCCTCCCTCGTCCGACGTTATCTGCTGAATGTGCATGAGCGGCAAGAGCCACGCGCGCATTCAATCAGTCCATAGGAAAGCATTACTCAATGCTTTCCTATGGACGCTGGCATCTTCCTACTGTGATTTTCACAGCCACTAGAGGCTGGATTAACCCTAATGTAAACATAGCAGTTTCTCTGAAACTGCTATGTTTACAGCAGGCAGGGTTAATCCTAGATGGACCTGGCACCCAGACCATTTCATTGAGCTGAAGTGGTCTGGGTGCCTATAGTGGGCCTTTAAATGTAACTTCCTAGTTAAGTATGTGTGAGTACTGATAGAATGTGCATAACTGCTAATTATTTATGTGCGACTAGTTAGGTGTATGATGATCAATTTTTTGGGAGGGGGGGGGGTTATTTTTGGACCCAAGTATGATGTCTCTGACTAATCTTTGTGGTTACAGATATGAGGGTTAGTGTAAGATGTTATGATTAGAGGCATTGGGGTGCGGAGTATAAGAGTTGCACATATCATGTTAGTGGTTAGGGTAGCAGTTAAATTAGGGCTAGGGGCTAGAGTGGTGGTACAGTTACATCGAACTTCCCAAGTAACTACATTTAATCATGGAAATGCCAGAATCACAGCACATTCTTGAAGGCATATAGGCTAAAACCCTGTATAAGAGATTCTGCCATTGTATTTTTATTATTTTTCCATCATAACAGAATACTAGGCATTAGACATTGAACAGAAATAGCTCTAAGGAAAGGTCATTACCATTAGCTAATGAATTGTGGGTGTGAGGCAGGGAGGTAATTAAGATACATTTTGTTCTTTTTCTAAAATGAAGGGATAAACGTAGAGTTCCAGTAAGTTACAACACAAGGAAGAGTATAATTCAGATACATTTTAATAATGCTAAATATTTTGCTGTTCTATTTAATAACATATGCAGGGCTCATTAAGAACAAACTGCTGTACATTTAAAAGAAGACTGTGCTATATGAATCAAAATTTGACAGCGGTTATATATACATCAAAACAATATCACAATATGTACATAAATATCTTACAGCTAACCTGGATTCAGTGAAAAAATACTGGTTCTCATTTTTTTTTTACTGCATTCTGAGTTTGATCTTTTCTTAATTGGTGGCCTCCTTCTGAGCACATCAGTGCCAGCTGCTAATGATATATTTCTAAAGTTGTATACCCTTGCAATTATGTGTCTTTTTTCATCTTTTGTAACATTTGAGGTACTATTGAATTGTTTATGCTCAATGAATGGGAGAGGTCAGCAGTACAGCAAATTGACTGTAATTCGGTAAAATTCAGAACGATCAGGTGATTGTTCAGAATTCCGATTTCTGAACCTGCCACATGCTAGAATCTCAGACAAACTGATGTGTGCAAGGCCAAACATGCTCATTTAAATTCATGATTCACATTGTCATTCCTGTGACCATAAAAAAGTGATATCTAATGGAGAAGAGAGTGTTTTTTTTTTTTGTGAGGGCAAATAAGCAGCTTAGTTTGTCATGATAATGTATATCCAAGCAAGACTTTTTCTAGACCAGACACTGTTACTTCAGACATTGAGTGAGAAAGACCAATAGTAGTACTGTGTGTTTTATCATTGCTGCGCCTGTGTGGGAGTTAGCCTTGATCATTGATTCTAGTGCGAGACTAGGTTTAGCTTACTGCTGTAACTAGAGAGCTACTGCCGGAGACACTTGAAACAACTTTCAGTGGAAGACAGAAGACTGTCATTGTGTCATTGACCCTAGTATGAGACTACGTTTAAGGCACAGCTGTATCTATTTACCCAACTAGCAGTTAGTTACACATAAAACTTTGCGTGGGAGATATAAGATTGTCATTGATCCTAGTATGAGACTACGTTTAAGGCACTGCTGTATCTATTTACCCAACTAGCAGTTAGTTACACATAAAACTTTGCGTGGGAGATATAAGATTGTCATTGATCCTAGTGTGAGTTCGAGTTACCAATTTCATTTAAAAAAACAAAAAAACATTTTGTTAACAGTTCATAGAAAGACTTTTTTTTAAATTTGGGATGAGGAGGGGGTGGATAAGTTGCTCAGTAAAAAGCAAAAATAAAAAAAGAAAGAGAGAAAATGCTCCTCTTGCTTAGCTACTTTACATTGGCACTCACACAAACTGATTTGTAGAGAGACTGCTTCATTCATCCTGGTGTGAAACTGTCTGGTTATTGCTAGTGCAGTGTTCTACTGCTAGCAACTGCTATTTAACACCAACTTTGAATCACCAATTTAGTTTCACAGGTTTTTTTTTTGTTACGCATTTGGAGAAAGAAAATCATATTTTGGGGAATCTGCTGTATAGCTGCTCTTCCTTCGCTACTTTCATTGTGGCCTACACAAATGTTGAGTGATAGCCTGGTTCAAGGATGGGCTGACAGTGGCCTGGGCCCCGGGCAAAATTAAGATCTGGGCTCCCTGCAGATCAATAAACATGCTGGTGTAGATGTACCATGTATCTGATTTTATATACATGTAAAGTGAATGTATGTTTATGTGTGTATATTCACTGTGAGCCACGGTTTTAGTGAATATATGTATGTCTTTGTGTGGAGTGTCAGCATATGTGGATTCAAAATATATTTAAATACATCATTTTTTTTTTAATAGGGTAGTATTTTTTTGGGCGTGTTTGTGTAGCATGGCAATATGTATAAGGAGGGGATTTGTGAATTGTGGCAATACGTTTGTATGAGATATGCATGCCTCCAAATTCTGCGTCTTAAATAACAAACTAGATGTTAAACATTATTAAATTAATTCTATATTGTCAGGAAAACAAATGTGTATTTCTGACACTATAGGTTTAAAATAACCATATATGTTGCAGACCCGCCTTATCCCCCATTCCAATTAAAAAAGTCACCTTTTTTCCAGAGCCTCCCAGGTCTCCTAACGGCTCGCTTGCCTCCACTCCACATCCTTGTCTGAAATCATTAGATTGGCTAATCTTAGCCATTCCAATGCTTTACCAACAGATGCACGGTAAAGGGTTGATACTAGTGTATTGAGTCAAGAATGCAAACTTTGGTATCACTTTGAGTGTCTACCAGAAGGCTGTCTTTTAAAGTGCAAATTGTGCAGCAAGGAAAAGAGTAGGGTGTAAGTGAAGTGTTATCTCCCTAGTGTTGGTATGAATCAACATCTGCAAAGCCATCACAAGTCTATATTACCAAGGGAAGAAGCAGAACAAAACAGTACTAGGGCCAGCAGTAGGTACACTATTGCTGTATCTGATTCTGCACAGTTTTCACAACCTATCTCCTTCGCTGCCACTAACATCACCGATTAGACAGAGCAGGAGGATGGTGACAATAGTGGCAGTAGAGTAGTCGACATAGGCAGGTTGGACAGGAACATTCTGACCCCTCATCATCTGGTGAATTAAAAAAGAAAATGGGAACAAATGCTCCTCTAGCCTAGCTGCTACTGTCACTGCTACTAACACCCACTTGTATTTACTGGTTTAGATTTTTTAAAATTGTTTTATTAATTTGTTTAATTTTGGATTATTTGATTAGCAATGTGCTTCCGTATCACTGCTTGTGCTTTGGAAAATGGCAAGCTTCTTACCTCAGTAGTGTGACCGTATGTGGCAGTTTAGTGCACAAATGAACTGTGTCTGCTTTGTAGAAAAAGGAAGTAGTCTGTAATGTGTTGGTGGTGCTGCTGGTGGTTGTAACGTTCAATGTCTTTTTTGTAGTGGTTTCACCCTTCCTGGTAAGTCTTGCGTTGTGCCTATCTTTGCAGATGCAGTTAATAGAATTTAATAAGAATCTTTTCTACACTGTGATTTTTTTTTTAATTTCTTGTCAGAGACAGATCCTTTGATTTGCACTGTGCTTCAGTGATCCTGCATAAGCTTTGGAAATTGCAATCTTCTTCCCTCAGTATGTGGCTGCAGTTTACTGCATAAGTAAAACCCTGCCTACAATGTGTGTAAGTACTAGTTTTGAAGAAGGGGAATAACATCATTGAACATATCAGTTTTGGGAAACTTAACTGTCTGCTGTGAAAGTGTCGCCGAGTACAGTTTAGTTAAACACAATAATATTACAATAATAGTCCACCAAAGAGCAACCCATTTTTCACCACAAACACAAGGCAGGGGAAAACTACAAGAATAACAGACATTTTCATAGATTCTTAGGCAGAGCAGGAGGATGTTAAGGATAGAGCCAGTCTTCGATGGAGGTAGGTTGGACAGGGATAATTGGACTCCTCTTCATTCCTTCATCAGCCCACTCTTGAAACATTTTGTTGAATTTCATCTCAGGGTCATGTAAAAACAACAGCGTATAACATCATACCACTTGTCTGCATTTTAAAATAACAGAAGGTCTGTTGGAATACACTGCAGTGAGGCAGTGGGTAGAGACAGGCATCATGGACTGGACATCCTCTGGTCCTGCATGGCATTGAAACCCAAATTCTTTGTCCTTCTCCTAGATTTCTGTTTTCTCTTTACAGTAATTCTTTTTAAAGATCCTCAATATGTGAAAAAAACATGCATGGTCTTCTATCTTGTAGAACAAAACATGCAAATATGTCATTTAAACTTACCTTCATCCAAGACAAACTACTCACAACAGCATAATCCACATTTTCTGAAGTCATCAAACATGGCATTTGTCCATTTAAAAGTAATTCATAGAGAAGCATCGTGGACGTTCAAGGCATGCATGGCTATCCCCTTCATCCACCACTATAATGCTTTTTCTCTAAAACGCATCACTTCTCATATAGAAGCATTATACGTACACTCAACATCTGGAGTCAGAATACTTTCAATGCTAATGCTGGACATAAAATAGATTAGATAAATAGATAGATACATAAGTAGATAAAGTCCAAAACTCTTAGTGGAAATTTCTCTGAAATGGTACCGTTATCTAAGAAAAGTCTTCAGGGATAGAATCTGTACACAAAAATCACATCATTAAGATGAAGTGATTGTGGTGCTTAGATAGTCCCTTTAACGCACATAAAGGTATTTTAATAACTGGTTGTAACTTCTTTTCACCCAACACTAAAATAAAAAACCCAGCAGAACATTAAATTAATTCATCAAAATATGATGGTTACAAAATATATGGCATACTGCAGATTGCGCATTGAGATAGCAGCATTTTTGCTTAGGACAACACTATACTAATATGTGATACACTATTTGCACAACAGCAACAAGGTGAGCCAGCTGTATTCATTGTTTGATATAATAGATGTATAAATTATACTGTTAATAAATTCTATAGATAATGCCTAACCTATCTGTGTGATACAGGTAAGAGTTTTCCTGGCATCTCTGGTGCAGCACTGAAAGAGTTAAGCTAATTTTAGCTTAATAAAGAAACCATAAGGTTAACCTAGGAGGCTGCCTAGGGCCCGGGGTTTAGACAGGGGTACTGCCCTGTAACCATGAATTTGCTTTTGCACAATTCACCATCACCATGTAAAAAATGAAGGTGGGGGGGAAACTGGTAGCCTGCCTACGACTCTGTGGGATCTTTATCCTTCAATCCTTCTCTAATTCCACAAGTAGTTCATGTGGAGTATAAGTTTAGGCTTTGAATTTTTTAAAAAAAATTATTTCACCTGGGAATTTATAGCAGGTACTGTTTTATCAATTTTTCTTATGAACTTACTAGGGACTGATGCCTTCTGAAAATGGTGAACATGTTGATTTTATTTTTCAGATTACTAGGGATGTTATTTAAAGCAGCCAATCGGTGTTTTTAACCAGTGGTAACAAATATTTTGTTTTGCATAGAATTGCCCAACCTTCGGTAACTTAACCCCTTAAGGACAGAGCTTCAGAAGCTTGTCTTTCACTTAATGACAACAGCATTTTTTTCATTTTTTGCTGTTTGCGTTCAACTGCAATTTGCATTTTACTAATTTATTGCTCCGACACATATTATATATCATTTTTTAAAGGACAGAAAGGGCTTTAATTTGATGTAACACACATATATATATATATAAAAGGCTCATTTAGTATAAAAAAAATACAGAAAAATGCAAAATAAATGAACATTTTGGTGTTTTTTTTTACAGTTTTTGCAATAATAATGTGTGCAGAATTAGTGCAGGTTAAGGAAAGTAATTAAAAATAAATTCATTTAGTTGTTCTGATTTACAGAATATATAATGTGTCTGGGATTTTAAGTTTTTTTTGGTAGTTACAGGTCACAAAGCACAAGGAGTAAAATAAACTTTTAATGTGGAGCGATTTTAGAATTTGGTATGTTTGTCTTGTAAGCTTAATAGCCATAAAAGAAAACAAAATTGCCACACAAAAGTATATATTTATATAAAGTAGACATCACAGGCTATTTACCTAGGGTTGTTTTGACACTTTTTACGTAGCCATTTCACCACCAACCTCTGCTAAATATTGGAGTAAAATTGTGTTTTTTGGGGTTTTTGGTACACATGTGTATTTT